TTTGTGCTTGTATTTTATTTACATCTTTTATCTCTGTCGTAAGCTACCTTGACCTCCATAAGGAAGGGAAGCGGCCAATAAATGTTTTACATAAATGAAATAAATAAATTCAGTTCTGGTAACCTGGACAAGACCATGCTGAGAAATCAGCTCCCTGCTTCTCCGTAACGTTCTCCTTTCCAATAGTGAGCGCGTGGGACTTATTGCCATAGGAAATAGCGAAACCACTGGTTACGGCAGCTGTAAAAAAAAAAGCCGTTCAGACTCACTTGTGGGGGAGAGATCTGTCAAGTATGATGCCTTCCTGTAGAACCTCCAAGGTGAGAGGCAGTCTACCTGGGGGGAGGCCTTTCTATTCCCAGCTGGAGTCTGGTGGCACCTTTAAGACCAACAAAGTTTTATTCAAGGCGTGTGCTTTCGGGGTGCCCCCGGTCTCTAACTTTGTTCTATCGCTTCAGACCAACACGTTTGTCCACATGGATCTGTTTTCATCTGGTTAGCTATTGTGGAAAACGAGGGCTCTCCTCGGAAAAACTGAGGAGAATTTCAAAGGGCCCAAACGGTAGCAAGTGGCAGCTAACTTGTCTGAGAAGGCCGGGAGATGGATGTGTGTCCTTGTCGGGCCGCCCACTGCAAACAAAACATGAAACGGAGAGCCGTTGGCAGCTTACTTTGCCAAACGCCGACTGGGCCGTGTGGAGGGAGGAGGGTGTTGATCCGAACAAGTGCGGGCCTGCTGGAGCCGTCTCTCTTCTCGGTCAATAGTAACAGATTGTTTGTTTGCGCGTGAGACTAACAGCGCAGGGGCTGGGCGACGGCGGCCTTGTCCGAGATCTGAGACTGCTGCACATTCACCGGTGAAAAATGAGATTCCCAATGAAACGGTTTCTCCCCACCACCGCCTTGTAAACACTTAAAGGACAAAGGGGCACGTAACAACCCCGGGCCTCTGGTAGCACGTGTGCAGAGTGAGATGAAAAAGGGAGCTGTCGGTCTCCTCTGCTCCCTTTCTCTCACTGAACATGCATATTCCGCTAGGAAAAACACCATCAAAGATTGCCAAAATATATAAACTCTATTTAACAATTACAATCTCTTATATTTATGTCTGTATGTCTGTATGTATGTTTGGATTTATATCCCGCCCTAGCTCGAAGGCTCAGGGCGGCTGACAAGGGCACTATGTGCCGAGGTTATAACAATAAAACACATAATATAAAACAATAATATACCATTAAAATATAGTAACAAATTTACCAGGGCTATTTTTGGGCAGGAACGCACAGGAACGGAGTTCCGGCTGGCTCCCGAGTTGGCCACGCCCAGCAGGAACTCATTAGCATAATAGGCCACACCCAACAGCAGGAACTCATTAGGATTGGCTACAATTAGGGGTGTGTGGCCTAACATGCAAAAAGGCCCTGGGTTTTGACAACAAACAAGGTAAACAGAATAAGAAGCAAAAGGTGGGTGTGGCTGGATGAGCACACTTCTGGTAACATGGGGGTGTGGCCTAATATGCCAATGAGCGGTGCTGTCATGGTGTGGCCCAATATGCTAATGAGTTCCTGCTGTTGGGTGTGGCCTATTATGCTAATGAGTTCCTGCTGGGCTTTTTCTACAAAAAAAGCCCTGAAATTTACAATGCAAATTTAACCAAGATGGGTGGATCTTAACCTCCATAATAATTTCCTGAGATCTTGTAATCCAATCCCTGCCCCGCCCCCTCGCTCCCCCCAGTGGGGTCCAGATAATCATGATAGTAATACGACAGTGCATAGGAGGCGAAGGTGGAATAGTAGTGGCGGCGGTTCCTACTCAAAGGCCTGGCGGAAGAGCTCTGTCTTACAGGCCCTGCGGAACTGAGAAAGGTCCCGCAGGGCCCGGATTATATCACAATCTTAAAGTCGGTGGTGTCACAACATCAAAACCAGTGCATACTGTAACTGTAAATATAACTATAAACAAGGCGTAGATTACAATGTTTCCTCCTGCAAAGAAAAATATTGGTCCATATAGTCCGCTCAGCTTGATAGGAGGAATCCAGGTGTACAAAACATTTCCAAAAACAGCCTTTGCAAATACGCCCATTCTAGATACTTCTTCAGTTTGCCGGCTGCATAGTTGGAACCTGATTTTGACAATTTCTCTTGACAACAAGGTTCGCAGTGTGAAGAGTGAATCATAGGTTCTCAAAAGCTTTTTTTAAAAAGAGAAGGAAAACCCTGGTTTTGAACTGTATGAAAGCCAAGTCAGAAAAACTGTGTGTGGGGGGGATGTTTATAAAGTGACCCGACTCCTCTGTCTTCTTCCAGTGACCTTTTATTGAGCCGTGGCAGTGAAAACCTTTTATGGCCAGAGGCGACCTGGTTTCTAAAACGACAAGCAGATGTTTGTGTGTCTAAAATAAAACCCGTAAAGAGTCAAAGGGAGTTTTGTGAGGGATGAAGAGTGGCGTAAGGCAGGGCTTTTTTTGTAGAAAAAGCCCAGCAGGAACTCATTAGCATAATAGGCCACACCCAACAGCAGATGCTCATTAGCATATTAGGCCACACCCTTGACAGCACCGCACATTAGCATATTAGGCCGCACCCCCATGTTACCAGAAGTGTGCTCATCCAGCCACACCCACCTTTTGCTTCTTATTCTGTTGACCTTGTTTGTTGTCAAAACCCAGGGCCTTTTTTGTAGCAGGAACTCCTTTGCATGTTAGGCCACACACCCCTAATGTAGCCAATCCTAATGAGTTCCTGCTGTTGGGTGTGGCCTATTATGCTAATGAGTTCCTGCTGGGTGTGGCCAACTCAGGAGCCAGCCGGAACTCCGTTCCTGTGCGTTCCTGCCCAAAAATAGCCCTGGCGTAAGGCATGGAAGAACGAATGCTGGTATTTGAAAGCAAACATCGCTGTTGTTCGCAGGATTGTGTTGGCTTCGTTTTTCATTTTATCCAACAGTTCATCTTCCGACACCTGGCTCACCTGGAGCCTTTTGGGGAACTCAGCAGACAAGCAGTTCGAATATCTTTTTTTTCTTTTTTTGGCCATCAGCTCACAGCTGACTTGTGGCAAACCCCTGGAGTTTTCGAGGCAAGAGACTTTCAGAGGTAGTTCGCCATTTCCTGCCTTTGCATACTGACCCTGGGCTCCTTCGGTGGTCTTCCATCCAAGGACTAACCAGGGCCGACCCTGCTTAGCTTCTGAGGTCTGATGAGATCCGGCTCGCCTGGGCCATCCAGGTCAGGTCCAGATGTTCAGAGGCGGTTTCGCCCTCCCCTGCCTCTGCGTAGCAACCCTGGACTTCCTTGGAGGTCTCCCACCCGAGGACGAACCAGAGTCGACCCTGCTTAGCTTCTGAGATCTGATGAGACCAGGCGCCGTCCAGGTCAAGGCAAGAGAGGAACGGAGGTGGTCTTGCCCAATCCCGTCAGATCTTAGAAACTGAGCAGGGTCAGCTCTGGCTCGTATTTGGATGAACGACCTCCAAAGAATGCCACGGCTCAATAAAAGCTCACTGGAAGAAGAGAGAGGAGTCGGGCGTCTTTATAAAGATTCCCCACACACACACACACACACACAGAGTTTTTCTGAATTGGCTTTCATACATTTCAAAACCAGCATTTTGCATCTTTTTTTTAAAGAAAAAGAAGAGATTGGATTTATACCCCGCCCTTCACTACTCGAAGGAGTCTCAGAGCGGCTTACAAACTCCCTTTCCCTTCCCCTCCCTACAACAGACACCCTGTAAGGTGGGTGGGGCTGAGAGAGCTCTGAGAGAATTGTCCTTGAGAGAACAGCTCTAACAGAACTACAGCTTGCCCAAGGCCATCCAGCAGCTGCAAGTGGAGGAAGAGAAGAAGAAGAGGAGATTGGATTTATACCCCGCCCTTCACTACCCAAAGGTGTCTCAGAGCGGCTCACAAACTCCTTTCCCTTCCCCTACCCACAACAGACACCCTGTGAGTTGGGTGGGGCTGAGAGAGTTCCGACAGAAACCGCTTCAAAGGACAGCTCTTGTCAGAACTATGGCTTTAAAAAAACTAGCAAAAGAAAGGGAGGCAGAAGATGACAACAGCTCCCTTTTTAATCTCCCTCTGCACACACGCTCCCTGCCTCTCCAATCCCGGCTACCAGAGCCCGGGTGTTACATGGCCCTTTGTCCTCTACAGTGCCTATCAAGTCTCCAGTGGCCAATCAGAAGCCTTGTTGGGCAAAAGTCCCACCTGGGCCCACCCACTTTCTTTCTTTTCTTTTTTCGCCCCCCCCCCAAGGGGATTTTTTTATTGCATTTTATACAAGGACTACAAACTACAACGAAAATAGGGGAGGGGAACTACAATTAAGGAGAAAGAAAAGATACCCACTACTAACTAAAAACCCAAGAGAGGAGATCATCAAATTCGCTTAAGTACAACGCCATCCCTTAAAACGCTAACAATGTTATGAACTTAGTCAGACATGCTAATGTAACTTTTATGTCTTAAATTTAACTGTCAACGTTTGACCCACTTTCTAAAAACACTTGGCGCCAGGAAAGGTGTCCGTGGGCACCATGTCTGGGACCCTGGGGTTAGAGAGAGTTCAGTTCTCACTGAAACTCTCGGAGGGTTCCTCTGAGGCTTTGGGGGCAGTTTCTGCCCCGCCCCACCTCCTCCTGATCCTTTTCCCCCTCCAGCAAGGGGGCAGCGTGTCGGGGGGGGAGGGGCTGCATTTGGGTCTCTTCCCATGTCTAAGGGCCAGCTGGCATCAGGGGTTGAGCGCCACAGTCCAACTTGGAGCCCTCCGAGTTGGGCAGAGACCCAGATGTGTCCCTCGGGCTGAAGATTTTGCCTGCCCCCCGACGTAATAAGCAATACATTGATAATTGAACCGTGAAATCACTTCCCAAAATTAAGCAAGAGAAGATTCTCTCTCCCCCCCCACCCCCTTTGTTCAGTAGAACACAACTTAGGTGTAAGATGCTTGGCATCCTGTTGAATTTGCCCCGCTTTTCCTGTTTTTCAGCAACTGAAGCACCCCAACTTGGTCAACCTTTTGGAGGTGTTCCGGAGGAAGCGGAAGCTGCACTTGGTCTTCGAGTACTGCGACCACACCGTCCTCCACGAACTGGACAAGAACCCGCGGGGGTACGTCAGCTGTGCCTGTGGCGGAGGCCGTGCCGATGAGGCTTTCGCTCTGAAGCGGTTCTCCGTAGAAACGCGAGGACGGTCACAGGACGAGACCCCCGGTGCCATTCCTGAGGCGACGGGCTTGGTTGCTATGGAGGGCGGCCCACTGCTCCAAAGGACAGGCAGTGTGTCACCCGAGCCCCTCACCAAGGAGATAACGCGGTGGAGGGGGAATATTTGGCGTGATATTTACTCGGTAGGAAGGGAGGAAAGAATCGCTCCTTGGAGGTCTCCGCGAATTTCTGGCATGCGATGGACCAGCATGGACCGTGTTCCCTGTCCACGACAGCAACTTTATAATGTTCAGGGAAACAGTCTGGTTTGATGGGTCTTGTGGCCAATGAAAAAAGGAAAAAGAACTGTGACAATTTAGCGCTTAGTAATATATTCATAAATCATAATATACAATAACAGAAGTTAAGTAATATATATAGTGAATGTAGACGGTGGTCTCCGGAATGGTGTGCCGTTACAAATGTATTGTAACAGCTATTGTTGTACTTTTTAGAATCAACAGTATATTTCCAATACGTCGCCAAGAGAAATGAATTGTTGAAAGACAGTTTTTGTAAGGTTTCATACTATTTATTCATGTTATATATTTGCACACTGTTATATTTATATTTATTTTAAATGAGACTTGTATTGTTATATTTGATAAGGTACACACCCTTGTTCAGAAGAAGATCATTGTCGAAACGGCACACCATTCCGGAGACCACCGTCTACATTCACTATATATATTACTTAACTTCTGTTATTGTATATTATAATTTATGAATATATTACTAAGCGCTAAATTGTCACAGTTCTTTTTCCTTTTTTCATTGGTCTTATTACTGTGCCCATTCTTGTAACTATTCTTGGTGGGTCTTGTGGAACAAAAGAATTCTTGAGTTCCTTTCAGAGCCGGGAAAGGCGACATGAGACCTGGATACAGTTGCAGCCGGCTTCTCTAGTGTAACAACGGCTCAATTGTACCACGAGCTCCACATAACAGTGTGGCCTGCGGGTTACGCACGTGGGGATGGCACGCGGCCTCTGGCCACGAAAATGGCGGGAACTCAAAGCTTGGGGGATGTGGGGGGTCCATGACCTGTGTAGCCCTTTTTCTGTCACAGGCGTCCATCTTGGCCACGCGTGGAGCTCCTTCTGAAAACAGTGCAAGATCCTTTCTGTGAGGGGACTCTGGGGGCTCAGGCTCCTGGCAGAACTAGATTATTTTATAATGGATCTATCAGCGATGGAGACAATTGGAATATGTTTGTTTCCTTTGGCGGCTTTTTAACTGACGTTCAGAGAGCCAGTTCGGTGTCGTGGTTAGGAGCACAGGCTCTAATCTGGGAGAACCGGGTTTGATTCCCTGCTTCTCCACATGCGGCTGCTGGTGGGACCTTGGGCCAGTCACAAGTTCTCTCAGAGCTATTCTCTCGAGAGCAGTCCTCCAGAGAGCTCTCTCAGCCCCACCTACCTCACAGGGTGTCTGTTGTGGGGAGGGGAAAGGAGATTGTAAGACACTCCGAGACTCCTTCAGGAGGTATAAACTCAATCTCCTCCACCTCCTCCACCTCCTCCACCTCCTCCTCCTCCTGTGCTTTTATGGAGCCAGTGTACAGAGACAGAATCTGGGAGATCCAGAATCTGCCCCCCCAATCACTCCTCAAACTCTTGCGTGATCTTGAGCAAGTTTCGTGCCCTCGGATAGATTTACCTCAGAGGGCTACATTTTAGCATGTAATCTCTCCCTTTCCCCATTTAGTGGTTTCTTGTTTTTCTGAAAAGTGGTCTTCATTGGAAAGGAGCCTGCTTATCCATTTCACTGGAGTCAGAGCCAGTGTGGTGTTGTGGTTAGAGTGTCAAGACGGGGATCAGATTCGAATTCCCACTCCAGCCAGGGAAGCTTGCTGGGTGATCTTGGGCCAGGCCATTATTCTTCGGATTTTTAAAAACTGGAGCCATCAGGGTAGAGCAGAATTTATGGAAATGTACGTTCCTTCACGAATGCATAATAGTCATACGTAAAACGGCTTAGAATCATCGTGGACCCACCTGTATTCTGTCGCATCCAGTGTTCCCTCTAAGCTGCGTGAGTGTGAGCTAGCTCACAGTTTTTTAGCCTCCGGCTCAGACATTTTTGTCTTCGGTCGGGAAGGCTGGCTCCAGAGCAAACTGATTGACACAGCAGCCAAATCGCTCGCTCACAGCTTTAATGCCAGGAGCTCACAAAGTAGAATTTTTGCTCACAAGACTCCACGGCTTAGAGGGAGGATTGGTTGCATCCGCTACCAAAGTGAAGGAACGAAGGATGTCAAGAGTGCACGCTTTCCCCGTTTCCCGCATATCTCAGGCAATCCAGAGGGAAAACAAGCGGGGTGTGTGTGTGTGTCTGTTGTCATGGGGTCTTTCTCCAGCACATTGGCCGGCAGAGCTTATAAACCTCACTTGAAGGTCAAACGTTGATCTTTTAAAACAGCAGTTCGTGCAGAGAAGGAGCCGGGATGTCCCGAGTGGGTGGTTGAGGGGGGGAGAATTTCCTTCTCTTGTATTGTGAGATGCGGGCAGAGGGGTTGAGTTTGACATTTGTTTCGGTTCAAATCTGCGGCAAAGCAAATGGTTACCAGTATAAACTAACTGAACCCAAACCAATGGTTACCATATAAAATAAGCTCATTATTCCTGTTTGATCCTTGACTCTGTTGAACATCTTCATTATGCTGTATGATCATTTAGAAGACGAGAAGAGATTGGATTTATACCTTGCCCTTCACTACCCAAAGGAGTCTCAGAGCGACTTACAAACTCCTTTCCCTTCCCCTCCCCCCAGCAGACACCCTGTGAAGTAGGTGGGGCTGAGAGAGCGCTTTCCAGAACTGTCCTTGAGAGAACAACTCTGACAGAACTGTGGCTTGCCCAAGGTCATCCAGCAGGTGCAAGTGGAGGAGTGGGGAATCAAACCCAGTTCTCCCAGATTAGAGTCCACGTACTTAACCACTACACCAAACGCACCCTTTACCTATACGTATGGACTACTAATTTCCAATTTTATTTCTGTGTCTGTCTTGACTCTAATTGGCCCTTCTTAGCAACTGTTCCCTCTAAGCTGTGGAGTCCTGTGAGCAAAAATTTTACTTTGTGAGCTGCTTGCATTAAAATTGTGAGCGAGCGATTTGGCTACTGGCTACACCAGTTTGGTGTAGGAGAGCCAGTTTGGTGTAGTGGTCAAGTGTGTGGACTCTAATCTGGGAGAACCGGGTTTGATTCCCCACTCCTCCACTTGCATTTGCTGATGTGACCTTGGGTCAGTCACAAGCTCTGGCACAGCTGTTCCTGAAAAAGCAGTTTCTGTCAAGACCTCTCTCAGCCCCACCAACCTCACAGGGTGTCTGTTGTGGGGAGGGGAAGGGAAAGGAGTTTGTAAGCCACTCTGGGACTCCAAGTGAAGGACGGGGTATAGATCCAATCTCTTCTTCTTCTACTGCATAAATTAGTTTGCTCTGGAGCCCTCCTTCCTGAGCCAAGACGGAAATGTGTGAGCCGGAGGCTAAAAAAAGGTGAGCTAGCTCACACTAACTCAGCTTAGAGGGAGCAGGGAGGACTGCCACTGCCCCCCCCCCCCCCGCTTTCTATATGTGATGGATGAGGAAATATCTGAGGAAGTGCGCTTGCACAGGAAAGCTTATCTCTTGAGTAATACTTTATGGGTCTTAAAGGTGGCCCTGGACTCAAACTTTGTTCTACCGCTTCAAACCAACATGGCTACTCACTTAGATCGATACTGCTGAAAGTTGCTGATGTCGGTGCTTTCTCTCTGTCTCCCCACCAGGGTTCCAGAGCATCTTGTCAAGAGCATCATTTGGCAGACGCTCCAAGCAGTGAACTTTTGCCATAAACACAACGTAAGTCCTACCAGTCAGCATGCCACAGATCAGGGCCCCCCGCCCTTTTGGCACCTTGCAGGCACCTTTGGCATTCCAGTACACGGTGGTGGGAACAGCCGCAACATGGCTGCCGCAGGAGGCGGAGCCGATTATAACACGGCTGCCGCAGGAGGCGGAGCCCCACACACAGGGGAAGCCAAAGTGCAGGAGTAAAGAGGAGTCATTTCAAAAAGTATATTGAGGAAAAAAGGAGTGCGAGAGACTGAAATCGACGCTGAGGTGGCAGCTGCCACTGAAACAGCATTCCTTTAATCTTCACAGTCAGATCTCATAAGAACCTAAGAGAAGCCAGTGTTGGATCAGGCCGATGGCCCATCCAGTCCAACACTCTGTGTCACACAGTGGCCAAAAATACCAGGTGCCCTCAGGAGGTCCAGCACCAAGCACCAAGAAGCATCAGGCCAAAGATCAGGCCAATGGCCCATCCAGTCCAACACTCTGTGTCACACAGTGGCCAAAAATACCAGGTGCCCTCAGGAGGTCCAGCACCAAGCACCAAGAAGCATCAGGCCAAAGATCAGGCCAATGGCCCATCCAGTCCAACACTCTGTGTCACACAGTGGCCAAAAATACCAGGTGCCCTCAGGAGGTCCAGCACCAAGCACCAAGAAGCATCAGGCCAAAGATCAGGCCAATGGCCCATCCAGTCCAACACTCTGTGTCACACAGTGGCCAAAAATACCAGGTGCCCTCAGGAGGTCCAGCACCAAGCACCAAGAAGCATCAGGCCAAAGATCAGGCCAATGGCCCATCCAGTCCAACACTCTGTGTCACACAGTGGCCAAAAATACCAGGTGCCCTCAGGAGGTCCAGCACCAAGCACCAAGAAGCATCAGGCCAAAGATCAGGCCAATGGCCCATCCAGTCCAACACTCTGTGTCACACAGTGGCCAAAAATACCAGGTGCCCTCAGGAGGTCCAGCACCAAGCACCAAGAAGCATCAGGCCAAAGATCAGGCCAATGGCCCATCCAGTCCAACACTCTGTGTCACACAGTGGCCAAAAATACCAGGTGCCCTCAGGAGGTCCAGCACCAAGCACCAAGAAGCATCAGGCCAAAGATCAGGCCAATGGCCCATCCAGTCCAACACTCTGTGTCACACAGTGGCCAAAAATACCAGGTGCCCTCAGGAGGTCCAGCACCAAGCACCAAGAAGCATCAGGCCAAAGATCAGGCCAATGGCCCATCCAGTCCAACACTCTGTGTCACACAGTGGCCAAAAATACCAGGTGCCATCAGGAGGTCCAGCAGTGGGGCCAGGACACCAGAAGTCTCCAGTGGCCAATCAGAAACCCTGCTGGGTAAGAGCCCCTTGTGGCCACGCCCACTTCCTAAACGGATTGATGGGCCCCACGGAAGGTGTCGGGCACCATGTTGGGGAACCCTGTGTAGATTTCCCCTCCCACTTAGTTGGTGCAAAGCGCTAGTTCCTTTTTCCTGTTCATTTGTCTGCCAAAGAACTCTTGCACATTTGAGAGGATTGTGGGTATGTTCAAGGGAGTGTTGGGGCATACTTTCCCCTCACCGATCTCTGGAGCAGTTAAGTAACTCACTGAAAATGTCGAGACAGTGTGTGACTGCAATAAAGAAGGCCAATGCTATGCTGGGGATTATTAGGAAGGGTATTGTAAACAGATCAGCCAATATCATAATGCCGCTATATAAATCAACTAGTCGTAAAGATCTGGAATACTGTGTGCAATTCTGGTCACCACACCTTAAAAAGGATATTATAGCTTTGGAAAAAGTGCAGAAAAGAGCAACTCGAATGATAAAAGGGTTGGAACACTTTCCCTATGAGGAAAGGTTAAAGCGCTTAGGGCTCTTTAGCTTGGAGAAAAGACGACTGAGGGGTGACATGATCGAGGTTTATAAGATTATGCATGGGAAAGAGCAGGTAAAGAAAGAGGTACTTTTCTCCCTTTCTCACAATACAAGAACCCGTGGGCACTCCATGAAATTGCTGAGCGGTCGGGTTAGAACGGATAAAAGGAAGTACTTCTTCACCCAAAGAGTGATTAACACTTGGAATTCACTGCCACAGGAAGTGGTGGCAGCTACAAGCATGGACGGCTTCAAAAGGGAATTAGATAAGCATATGGAGCAGAGGTCCATCAGTGGCTATTAGCCACAAGGTATAG